ACTACTGAATACTGCTTAGTACAGAGCACAGTCACAATGAAAGGTCCTTGTCTGAAGAAAAAACAAGGCTGAATCGTTAAATTAACTGTTTGGTAATTTAAACTAATAACAGAAAAGCCTTTCAGAGGTGTGCTGCTCCTGCTGCTGACAGGAATCTTAATGACATTTCCCCTCCTCTTATTTAATTTAAAAGAATGTATTGCCTTTTACATTCACTCCCCACATATAAGGATGCAGTCAAAGGCAATGTGTGGCCAAAGCTAAGCTTGTGACAGAGCACAATACTGCTGAGGGAGAGCACTGCACGTAAAGTTTATGCTAATTTAGCCAATACCCATCAGATGTAATGTAGAAACTCAGCAGAGCAGGATGGCAGATTGTAAATTACCCAGTCAGAACTAAGAAATGGATGGTAACTCAAGTAAGAAATGAGGAGAAGGACTTTGTGTGTTGCACTGACTGTGTTCACTGCTAGAACTGTGCTTTCTGCTCAAGTTGTTGTCAAAGCAATAAATGGAACCTTCCTGAAAGTAAAGTGCAGCACAGCACTGAAGTCATGTCACCAGCTGTTCTCAAGCTGAGCCATTATCAAGGCAGATTCATCTTACCAGCTACTGATCGCTTTCAAAAGAAACACATACTGTAGGAGAAAGAACAAGGCTATTTAAGTTGTCATAATAAAAAAACAAGCCTATATACAGTAGATGACAACACTGGAGCCCCCAGCTGGTATTGTCACACAGCTAATGGAAAGAAGGAACATTCTCACAGTTTCAATATGTAAAGGGAACGAACAACCAAGGTGAGAGGATGGAATTCATTCTGGGCTATTTTTTTTTTATCACATAAAATGTAGGTCACCCTATCTGGCATCAGGTGTGTGCAGAGGGAGAGTGAGGAGAGTGTGTCTTGTGTCAGACAGCAATCATTTTCCCTGAGCATTTCATCTAAAACCCATTGGCACACTTTCAGAAAGCGCTCTTGACACCACATTACCCTTCTTCACTCCTTCCTTTTCCTGTCTTCTCTCTCTCTCTCTCTCTGCTTCTGTCTTTCTCTCACTCCCTCTGTCTTTCTTCTTTCCTTCTGGTATCCATTTATATTCCATTTATGTGTAAAAGGTTTGGTGGAGATTCTTGTTTTGTTCTTAGTAGCCCATTGTTAAGTCCAAAGTCAGCAGAGAAGACAACATTTGTCAGCTAGTGAAATTCATTATGGGACAATGACCTCCTGGATTGCTTTTCTCTGTATTTATACGCTAAAGTCACCACGGAGATTAAAAGGACCCTGGGCTCATTCCCAGACCCCCTGGGGATTTTTTTCAAAACAAGACATTGTAATCAGAATCCATCCATATGATTTAGCCTGCTAACAACCTTCTGCAAAACTTTAAATAACCTGCAGCACAGCTGCCAGAAGCAGAGGAGTTGTGCTGATACACCAGGCTTCACTAATGATTCACTGTGTATGAGCTAAACTACTGGGCCTACTAGCTGCAGCTTAATATAAAACCATGAAAAGCAAAGGTACTATTTTAAACCAGAACAGAACAGCAGGGATATTTTTGTCTTTTACATCCTAGCTTCAGTAGAAGATGATCTCACACTCATATCTGTGCACTGAACATAAAGCTACACCTGGTTAAAGCTGGTTAGTTTAGTTTAGCATAAACTGGAAGCAAGTTTTTGTATGGATTAAACAAACAAGCTAGGCTACATGCTAATTAGTAAGCTTTAAACATACTGACAGGCCGACTTTCCTAACTCTGAACAGAGCCACGCTCTCTGTTCCCGTGTTTACAGTCTCTGTGCTGAGCTAAGCTAACCTTCTCCTCAATGTGCACCATGTTCTATACCAAGAAAACAAATGAGCATTTTCCCCAAATGTAATGTAGTGTATCTAGCTGATAATGAAAATGTATTATACCTTTAGAAAAATCTGTTTTTCATCTTAAAAAATCTTTTTTTCTACAATTTTCTACTTTTTAAATGTCACAGTAATATCAGTATTTATTTGCATATGCCAACGTCCCCTGACTGTCAATTCGAGCTGAAGTGATTGATGAATCAAACAAGACAAAAGTTACGATTCGTCAGAGGTTTAAATCCCTTAAGTAAAATTCTCAAACATTTACCTCTTCCACATAAGAATTTTCTCCTTTTTTCTGATTTAAGTAATAAAAGACTGAGTGGCTCAGGGTTTCGGACTGGTAGTTGGACAAAACCAGGGATCTGATGACATCCCCTTGAGCGCTTAAAAACTGCAATGAATGATCTTTCACTATTAGTTGATTAATCACAAAATTAACTTGACAGACAAGAAATACTGTAATTGTCAGTTGCAGCTTTCTAAGTAGGATCTTAGACAAGCTGCAGTGCAGAGGCTCCAACGCCCCGTCTGAGTTCTTACTTTTCAAATGTAGCGGTGACAAAGAATGCGTAGACTCGTGTGTGCTTATGATGTCGGATTTGGATGATGAGCTCTGGGATTCCCAGCCGGATGTGGTTCAGTAGCCAAAGCAACGTGTGGTCATCTGTAGTGTCTGTGGCAGGAAATGGAAAAATAAATATATATTTTCAGCCATATGCATGCAATCCAGCCTCTTAGTTGTAATAATCACTAAACAATAATGAGTAATAATAAACTTAAAATGATAGTTACTAATTTTGTTTTGGACTGTTAGTTGGGCAAAACTTGGAAAATTGTGATTGGCACAAATTTAAGGTATTTTAATTTCTTAATTTTCTAGGGATGCAACTAACTAGTTTCATTATCAGTTCATCTATCAGTTATTTTCTCAATTAATTATTTGGTCTATGAAGTATCAGGAAAAGTAAAAAAAATAAAAATAAAAAAAAGCCAATCACAATGTCTCAAAGCTCAATCTGATAAATATTGTTTGTTTTGTCCAACCAAGAGTCCAAAGCACAAAAATTTTATTTAAATTAGATTTAAAAGAGATCAATCAACAAAGAAAACACTAGTTTTTAATTTACTGTATATTTTGACATTTTAAAGACAAAACAATCGGCTTCCACTCATAACATGCAGCTCCGATAGATAAATTGGGGTTAAGGGCTTGAGATGCATAATGCCAGGGATGTCCTCACAAGTATAGACATACAAACACATGCGGGTGTGTGTGTGGGTGGTGAGTGTTTGACCTGCAAATGTCATGAGGACATCACAGTTCTCTGTGGGCACCGTTTTCATCCAAGACTTGTGAGACATGATGTATCTCCCAGCCTGCAGCAGCCGCTTTCCAAACAGCTTATCTGAGAAGCGGAGAGAGAAGGAGAGAGTCACCTTTTCAGAATGAAACAGTGTAAGGGGCAATGACATTTCTTATATGTTCCATCACCCCCCTCTTACTTTTTACCCTACTGCCCCAACACACACACTCAAACGTCCTTCTTGACAGCACACATTTAAATGTCATGCCCCTTGGCCTCACAACACGATACCAACAGAAATAATCCTGTCTTGTCCATACACTACACATAGAGCCACTGCAGCTATGTCTCTGTGTTGTGATATGGACAAAGTGCGTCCTCTTGCCTTGGCAAGACAGAATTATTTCTGTCAGTATTACTGCAGCCTTGTCTCTGTGTTGTGATATGTCCTGAGTAATAAAAGAACACGCTTCAAGGTTCAACCATGAATTCAGCTCCCGTGTAGAATTACCTTGTTTCTGAAGTCAACAGCGCACCAAAAATAGCACACACACTGTAATGTCACATTATACAAGAACATAGTCGCTCTTAATGCAGCAGACTGAAGGAATACTGTTACGTCATGGAAAAATTGCATTTTCAAGATAACTACCTTTTCCATCACCAGACTCCGTGAACTTTATCTTTGCTTTGACACTTCATTAATCTGTCACTGGCCCTTTAGAGGCTTGTATTCCCACAGATATGTACTCCAGAAAGGCAGCGGTACTGATAGTTTAAACAGGACTAAGTGATTCTATAACCAGTTTAACCCCAGAGCCTGTTCAGCTGCCAGACAACGGTTTGTGTAAACTGCTTCCTGGGTCCTGAATAATAATGACAGCAGCCCAGAGAGAAAGCCCTGTGATCACTGAGGCATGGGCCGTCAGAGGAGCTGGAAAGCAGGGCACTTTCCAGAGATCACACAGGCTCAATTAGTAATGCAATATTCATAAGAGAATACACCATTTATTTACTTTTATATATCTGAAGGCAGTACAATATGCGCTGTGAGTTCTCTATGAGTGAAAGATGGTTTAGGTATAACTTACATGGTTACAAAAATATAGACAGATGCACAGTCATGGAGGTCAAAGCTGTAAATTTATCCTTGATATCACACTATATCCCTATGTTCTGTGGTGTCCACAAACACCTGTCACATTGCAGCATCATTGTGCTGTATCCGTCCACTTCCTGGAAAGGTCAAGGGGGGCAGGGTGCGATAGAGGGGGAATTCCTAGAAACAAGCCTAACTGTCTAAGGATGTATTTGTTTTCCATGTTTACATTATCTGTGTATATAAGCACCAGCATGCAACATGAAGCTGTAGCACAGAGCAGTGCAGTGTCTTAAAAACAGGTCAGTCTATATCTTGCCTCAAAACCAACTTTTATAGATTTACCTAATAGTGTTTTGTTGCTCGTGTCATGTCCCTCCAGTATTTTAGCATCTTCTTTAAATCGGTTTCTATTTATTAGCCTTGTATTACCACTCTATTATACTTTTGCTCTATTATTATGTAATTTATTTATTCAACTGACTCTATGCCACTTTAATATTCTACTTTATGATTTTATTTTTTTATTCTCCTTTATGATTTTATTCTTGCAGTTTTCATTTATTCATCTTGCTGCATTTTTTGTTCCCTACGCCTTCTCTAGCCAGCGCCATTGTTCCTGCCTAAAAAGTTCCATATAAATAAATCAGAGACATTGACGGGATGCCAACACACTGAAGATGATATTTTCTGTCCAAACACCTTAGCCTTACTGTTCAAGGGATCTCTCTTCAGTACTTACAAACAGGTTGCGATAACTTTATCTGGTTCCACACTGCTCTTCCCCTCTGAAGAACATTTTCAAACATCGTAGCAGGCTGAACAAGAAACACAGCAGGGTGTTTTAGACTTTTGAATCTTGCGTGATATTCCTAAGATACTGAAACCTGCCTGGCCCCTACACTGTGCTTTGGATGAAATGCTGCAGGCAGTGCTGAGACGTGAGAGCAATTCTAATGAGCGCTGTATTCATCACTGTGGGAGACACACTAACACACATAGGCGCTCACTCCTGGAACAGCCTGCAGACTGGTTTCAGCAGCCCCAGTATCGAGTGAGTGTTCAAATGGTTTGTTTAGTAAGGCATGAAAAGTGCACTGCCCATCAAGTCTTCACTGCATAGACCAGATCAGTCTGGCAGGTTTGTGTCTGCATGTGCATGTGTGTTTTGGCACTAACCACACATGGCAAATGCCACTTGAGCGAAGAGTGTTAGGCTCTTTATATGCCACTCTCCATGCTCAGAGGTATCATCCTAAACAAATGTTTGCCAGTACTCCCCTGTGGACAGTTTGTCAGACTGACACAAATTGCACACTGATTATAAGACCAATGAAATGCGTGTGTTAAGTGCAAGGCTATGATGATAAAGCGCTTCATCAAGCAGTTGAGCAGCATCCTAACCAGAAAATGTCAGAAAACAGAATCATTTTTGTATCAGAGTATAGTAACATTTCTGGCAAGACTGTGGAGGTCTTGAAAAGTGACTCAAGCTTACAACATCTAGCCAGTTTTTCACCTCATCTTTACTATAAAAAGGCAAAAACAATGGAGATGTGTCATTTCAGTCAACGTATGCAGAACGTCACATTAAACTGAGAATAAAGGAACTATAAGGAATAGAAATGTAGACAGTACTACTTCTAGACACTACACGGATTTAAAGACACTAAGTTTACAGGTTTTGAAAGAGTCTTGCCTAATCCAAGAGGAGACATTACTAAACAGTTCCTAAAACGAGAAGCATAATAGATATATGGTTTACGGTCTAAATGAAGTTACTGATTTCAATAAATTTCTGTGAGGACATTACAATTCTCTGGACTCTGTACCTACAGCTAACTCATCCTTGTATCGAGGGAGCTGAGACACTATCCTCTGCACTGTCAGCATCACATACTGTAGGACGCAGAGCTCAGGCTGTGTTTTGACCTACAGATTTGTTTCTGCAAAAGGTTTACAGCTGTGAAAACAAAATTCTTTTATATTTTAAACATTTCAAAATAACTTAAGTAGAACTACAGGTTAGATGCTTGTAAATTCCAATAAGTTTTATGTATGTTTTAAATGGTAGTCCATTAAGTCTGTATATAATGTACTAGCATCTACATAAAAATGATCCCAAATATGGTTTATTGTGGCAAAAAAGTCCGTAACAGAAACAGGTTCACTGTAGAGCAGGTCAGCCCAGGACAAGCAGTGATAAAGATAAAGCATGTATTACTCACATCTCACATCCTTCACACTGAGACAATTGTTCCAGGGTCAGTGCTTATCAGACAGCAGCCAGACAGGCATGACAAGCAGGGTGTCTCTCTGTGATCTGAGTTGTTCTCTGAAGCGTTTCTGTGAGGTGTTTGTGTGTCCATGTAGGTATTTGTCTATGTGCATGTGTGTGAGCCTGAGATATGAAGTAGCAGATTATGACACTCAGACAAAGCACTAACATGAAGGGCAGAGACACTTAGGGAGTCTTCACTTTGCTTTCCTGACTTTCAGAAACTTGCACTGTATCACTGATGTGATGCTGAGGATTTGTACTTTCATACCATACCAACATACCTATAGAAAAAGATGCCTTGCTGAATGTGCCTGGAAACACTGTGCTGTATGTCCTAGGGAGGATGTGGACTAGAGCATAATTTAGATTTTCTCAGCAGGGAGCCATATTGAAGTTTGACTCTTACTTAGCCAGTCTAATAAAGAGACAGCTGCACACAGACATAATGTTATAAAGACAGACAGCTACAGAACCCCCAGTAGACACAGAGGAACGATAAGACAGACAGAAAACATTTCCATTCTCACATGTGACTTTGTGAATGACCCTATTAGACCAATTACATCAGTAAGTGGGACAGAGAGCCTAATCAAGTTCCGACACCTAACAATTCCCATGATTAGAATAATCTCTGTCCCCAACTCTGTAAATTGCTGTTCTCTACAGACAGGTCCACACCCAGTCACGCTGGATAATGAGGCAAGACAGTGCCTCTGTTCCCAGCTACGCCTGTCTACACAAACAGAGGTTCAGATACAGACACAAAATAAAACACAGACAGAAACAAAATGCATCCCATGTATGTACAGTATATAGAAGCACAACAATTACACATCCACAGATGCATCAAATCATGCAGCTGACATCTTAAATAAAAAGCACATCAGACTTTTGGAAACTGCATGTGCGGTCCACTTATCTTCAGGAATACATGTAAACCATAACCCACCTTCTTCTCTTATATGTCCCTTCCTAGTGCTCCCTGCTTTCTTCAGCTTCCAAACACTGGCTGATTTTAATGCTTGTCGCAACAGCCACCTCACTACACCCTCTGCAAGGTTCTGTACGCAGTCTGCTTACACTATGGCACCAAATCGACAAACACAAATACTCCCATTTCCACACTGAGTCTTCCATTTCCACTGGCAGATGTGTTTCGGATGATCTGAAAGCCCATCTTCCTGATGCAGCAGAGTGCTCCTATCTCTCTTTACGTTCTTTTACCTCAGCCTGTTCCTCTGTGTCTCTCTCTCTCTTTATATCTTTTTGCCACTACCATCCCTGCCTCATTCTCTAACAGAAATCCTCTCTTTTACAATTCCCCCAACCTCCCTCTCAGAGCTCTCATCTCTTCCCTCTCACTCAGCCTCATTCAAGACGTATTTGTCATGAGGCTCCTATAGATGATACCTTCAAACTAAGCAGAGGAAAAGAGGGAGGATGCTTGAGAGCAGTGCAGTTAAACATAAACACTGTTGTGTTAGTGACTGAGCACTAACACAACATTTCCTGTAACAACTTGATTTCTGCCGTGAGCAGAAGTATCCTATTATCTTTCATCATTTAGTAAACACTGTCATTGACAGAACTGAAGGCAAATAAAGGATATTGTGCAGTTTTCTTCCAAAGCAAAGCTACAGACAGCAGGACTCAATATCAGCTTAGTAATGTAGTTTTTAAATAGCACATAATCAAAACTGGTTTCCTGTTTCAATTGCAATCATCCTGTAATCAGGTGTGCTCCTAGTTAACACATTTCTTTCTCTAGCCAGTAGTAACTGCTATTGAGGACAAACTACAAGACAAACTCTGTGCTCCAAAGGAAACTAAGCTGTGTTTTTATTTTAAAACGGTAAAAGAAAAAGAAACAAGACTCTGTGAGCTAAATGCTAATATCAATATGCTAACATTGTCACAAGCTGTTTACATCTTGGTTTGTTAACAACTGCTAATTAGCACTCATGCTACATTCACACAACAAAAGCACATTGAGAAGAACAGGCTGCAGTCATACAAATACAGTCATGCTGATGTACACGAGGGAGAAATGAGGTGTCTGTTTCACCTTTGTGACAAATGGGATGAAAATGTCAGTGCTGGTGGATGCCGTAACTCTGGCTTCCTCATTAACAGCAGCGGGGTGGGTAACAGGGACCTGTCCTTGGCTTCACAATGACAATGATTATATGTGAGACTGGAGATGACCATGGCTGAAAGCCAAGAGAAGGATGAGACCACAGCATGTAGGTAAAAGAGCCACAGTGCTTACACAGCTGAATAGCTGACATATCACTTTTCCCCATGTTGTCTTCTGTGTCTCCTTTACATCACTTTTTGTCTCCACTTCCCACTAAATCTCACTAAATGTACCTCCTTCAATTACCACTCTCTCCTTCTTGCTGCCAAGTAGGCTAATCTGTGGTTCATTCTAGGTTAGCCTTTGGTGACGCAGGGACTGAGCTGTCCTATGTTATAAAGATGGGGTTATATGAGGAAAATGAGGCTGTGTGCTACTCAGTCAGGTAATCGTGAACAAAAGCCAGCGTTGAATCCTTTTATGCATGGTCGATACAGACTACTCTTTCAGGCAGCCACAGACTGGTTATCTAACTGTATGAATTGAGCTTTGTCAAGTGGGGAATTACGAATTATGAATAAGCGAGTGTTGATGGTGAATATAGTGGAGTGAATGGCAGCCTTTGTGGGTCAAACTGTTCTCTTTGTTGAGTAGCGGGTAACTGCCGCCTCTGTAAGTGTAAGATGGGGTTTCTGATGGACACAGAACAACAGGACAAGGATTCCACGCAACACCAACATGAACACACGCAAGAGGTCACTTCTGTGTTGTATAAATCACTGTAGCACCTTAGCATTTCTGAGATTTAACATGTTTGAAAGCTTTGATGCAGAATGCCCAAATGCCTTAAACAAATCAATTTAAATTGGAATTAACAACATTTAAATTATTCACTTTGTTTCCAGGAGGATTTCGATAAGATCGACCACACAAAATATACAAAGCATACTGTGTTTAGTAGTGAGCTTTAAGTGTGCCGGTAGGCCGATTTTGTTTCCAGTGTTTGTGCTAAGCTAAAGTCAACCAGCTGTAGCACAAACAAGAGAATTAAAATTTGTCCTTACTGAGAGCACACAGAGGGTCACATGGAGGACCTACCAACTCAGGCGTTCAGAGAAAACAGACTCATACATTTTTAAACAGCTTTAAGAGGAAACTTTAGTGTCTGACGTAGGCTTGTTACTGTACATTTGACTGACTGTACCAGGCTCAAATCTAGCAACATTTCAGTGAGTCGGTCCTTTGTCTATTTAGTAGATTTTAATTGAATTATGTGAAGAAATATAATGTAGGACTGAGCTTGCTTTCATCAAAACTGAGGCAATTCAGTTTGTGCCAGTGTCCCAAGATGTCATTTATAATTATAATTATTATCTCTATCATCAGGCACTCTAATGTAGTGACACATCACACACACGTCAGACAAACTTGGCATTTCTACTCATGCTGGGCACTTCAGTAATTAAGAATGAAAGGATAATGGAGGAGTGAATTTAGAGAAAAGACACTGTAGCAGTGAGTGAGTCAGTGAGTCTGCTGGCTGTGGACTAACTGATCTGTGTGGTGGTATGATATTCTATTCCTGGACAGGAAAGATGGGAGCGAGGCTCAGAGTCAGATCAATACCCAAAGAAACCAGTGATTATTGTGC